AACGACTCTCCAGGAGACTAAGGATATGATATAATGATTTTTTTTCTCCTTTAACTAACAAAGCCAAAAAGGATATACACTGCATACTGAATCACAGAGGATGTAACTTCAATTCGACAACTTGAATTCAATTTACTGAGCACCTACTATATGCCAGACACTATTCTAGGTACAGTAAGGGATATAGGCACAATCACCTTCCCTAGTGGAACTTCCCTAAGTGAACTTCCCTAACGGAATCACTTTAAAAGGAATAACGAGGACTTCCTGGCAGTTGAGTGGTTACAACTCTTGCTTCCAATGCAATGGATGCCAGTCTGAAACCTGATTGGGGGATTAAGATCCCACATGCTGTGCAGCCAACAAAAAAAACTGGGGTCTTCCCTGGTGGCTCGGCGGTAAAGAATTCTCCTGCCAATGCAGGAGACATGGGATCAATCCCTGATCAGAGAGGATCCCACATGCTGTGGAGCAACTGAGCCTGTGAGCCACAACTACTGAACCTGCTTTCTACAGCCCAGGAGCCGCAACTACTGAAGCCCAAGCGCCCTAGGGCCCAAGCTCTGCAACTAAAGAAGCCACTGCAATGAGAAGCCTGCGCACTGCGACAAGAGAGGAGCCCCCGCGTACCACAACTAAAGAAAGCCCGCGCAGCAACGAAGACCCAGCACCGCCGAAAATAAATAAACAAAATTATATTAAAAAAGGGACTTCTTTGTGGTCCAGTGGCTAAGACTCCACACCCCCAATGCAGGCGGGCCTGGGTCCAACTGCTGGCCAGGGGACTAGATCCCATATGCTGCAACTAAGCGTTTGCATACTGCAACTAAAGATCACAGACTGAAGATGCCCAGTGCAGCAGCTAAGGCCCGGCACAGCCAGATAAATAAAACTAAAAATATATTTTTAAAATAAATTTTAAAAATATATTTTTAAATAAATAAAAGAACTAATCAACGCAGTTCTGTGGCAAATAACTCAAACAGTGTTTCTCCCAAGTCCCTGTAAACATCATGTTGATTTACCCAGGGACAATAATTACAAATGGGCTATCAGAGCTCCAATTTCTTACAAAGCAAAGTCTACTGAAGAGCCCCTCAGGCAATGATCTACAGGAGCAACAGAGGTTTTCACAGAGAAAACTGACAGTGAAAGCATTCATTTCAAATGAAGAGAAGCGTGCCCTCTTTAGGACCCAGGAGTTCTGACTCCCATCTTTGCTACAGGCACCTCAGTAAGTCACTTCCCCTCAATGTATCTAAGTTTCCTTATCAATTAGAAAAAGAGAGAGAGAGGCTGGGCTACATAAAGTCTACATTGTCTCCAGTTTTAAGATGCCATTTAAAATAATTTTCTCTTTTCCTTAATACCAGCCTTTCAGGGCCACAGGGACTCCTGCTGCAAGGAGCCACAGCACCCTCATCTTCTCCTGCTAGCTCAAAAGCGATCAGACCCCAAAAGAAGCTTCTCTTGGTGGTGAAGCAAAGGGCCTGCCATCCAAGTTATAAATTGTAATCTGGAATCAAGACCATAGAGAGAGTCGCTTTCCACTGCCCACAGGTAAAAGGAGATAAACTGTGAGCTGGTTATCACTGCTAAGTAACACAGCGCTATACTGAAATACACATGCTTTTGCTTCACATTCTCACTTTCTGAAAATACTATAGATTGTATCAGCAGAGGCAAGGATCAAAACATGCCTCCTCAGACTATCTCCTACTACACAGCTGAAGAAACCCCCTCCCTTCAAGCAGATGTGTGCACTCAGCAATTACGCCGTCTCGTCCCTGCCAGCCCAGCGGCAGCAACAGCCCAACAGTGACACCTGCTGGGGAAACTCAAGGCCACTCGACAGCCAGAGCGCGGGGGACCTCCGGAGGCAGGAGCTGCCGCTTCACACGCAGCAATCATTTACGCCAAAACGCAAGCTCTCAGTGTATGAGGAAGTGGTGACCCTTCTCTAATGGGTGTGCACTTAGAATATTTTATAATATACCTCACTTTTGAGTAGGCTGGCAACCTTCATGGTACACACCTCATCTCACTGAAGCTCATCTGAAAAGAAGCAACTCCATAAATAATGTATCCAACCACTGTTTTAATACACTATTTACAACAAGAACTATGCATCTGCATATTTTGAATTTAAAAAGCATATATATAATTATTTACAGCAAAATGACAAGGGGTTTCATCTTCTGCATCATACATTTTCTAAATGCTTGAACTCTTTTTATTTAAACCACAAATACATACTACCTCTTGTCTACAAAAAATTTTGATACATCCTTAATAACAGTTTCAGGGTTTTAAATGGCATACATTATTAAGGAGTGACTATTAATATTTTAGTCACATGTGGTTACCTATATAGTTCCTCAGATCACACTTGTCACATTTCAAATGCTCAACAGCCACATGTGGCTGGTAGATACTATACTTGATGGCACAGATACAGAAAATTTTATTAGACAGCACTACTCTAGAAACACACTGGAGTATTTTCAAACAAAGTTATACGATATCTAGGTGGAAAGGAAGGGCAGGAGGCACAGAGAACAGTGTTGAAGATTTCTGAAGTCAAGTGACAGGCATTTATGGGAGTTCCTTTAGACTACTTTCCTCTCTATTTTTATATGTTTGAAGATTTCTGTAATCAAAAAATTAAAAGAAAGAAAACATAAAAATTGTTCACCTAAATACGAGATTATCACTTTAAGAAATACACCATGGAGAGCAGCTTGGAAAAATCTTTTTTATGTACACCAGAGTTCAAATTTCCATTCAGCAACCTACTGTGTGACCTTTAACAAGAAACTTGACTTCGCTGAGCCTCTCTTTCCTCAACTTAAAGATGGGAAATTTAATAGCTGCTTTGCACAGAGTTACTCTAGAAATTAGAAATAATGCAAGGCTAGAACACAGGAGCAGGCTCTCAGTAATCGGTATCTCTATTATCAAACAGTAGAGTTTGCTTTAAATGACTCAGGTATTTCTCAGCAGAGCAACACATGCAGAGAGTTCTGCTAGGACAGAGTGAACAAAGGCTAAGCACCAGCCCCCTGGCGCCAGTGCACCAGGTACTGGGAGACTTCCAGAGCAGAAACTGCAGACAGCCCTCTCTGGTTGCCTGTAAACACACCTCCAGAATGCCTACTACATGTCAGGCACTACACTTGCTACCATTGCATGTGCTCAGAAGCTCAGTCGTGCCTGACTCTGCGACCCCATGGACTACAGCCCACCAGGCTCCTCCGTTCACGGGATTTTCTAGGCAAGAACACTGGAGCAGGTTGCCATTTCCTTCTCCATCTTACCTCTTGACAAAAAGCAAGAACAGAGTCTCTGGCTCCTGATAGGGGTCATTATACAAAGCAAAATATTACAAAGACGGCAATGTAGGAGATGTTAATCCAGAACTGGCCTCAACCATACAGGCACAGTATCAGCCTCAGTCATTTCATCTATCTTTCCTATCGTGACCAAGGCTGTGTTCTCAGATAGTAACTGCCCTTAAGTAACCGCTTTTAGCTAGAATTCATCGCACTCTTCTCTTCCTCAGCATGTGCTATTCCCCTAAAATAAAAAGGTCTTTCCCTTTCCAGATCCTACCCTTCTTTCAAGGCTTGATTTCGCAACACCTTCTTTGATGATACTTCCCTTTCTCTGAAATTAGACTACACTGAGTCTCAGTACCATACAATGAAGCATTTGGCTCATTTACATTTTTTATATAATTACATGTAAATAAGTCTTGCCTCTACAGCAACACTCTATACTGCCAGTGGGCAAAGACCAGGTACTAAGCTTCTTTTGTATTCCTGACAGTGCCCAGCACAGTGCTGGGGGAAAAAAATGTAATTCAACAAGACTTATTAACTGGGCAACTCACTCACTGAAGCATCCTCCTAAAATAACAAGTACACGGTGTGCACAATCCATATTCCCACCCTTGTTAGAAGCTTATGTCAGAGAAATTTCAGTTGCTTCAACAGAGGATGCAATGCAGAGAAATATGCTGCTTGAATCCAACAGGCATATTCTGGGAGTCAGTGATTACGCTAGATCTGACCTTTATGGAATTACAGAAAGAAGTCCCTAATAAATCAAGATAGATGCACACGCAGCCATACACGGAACATGCGGTGGGCAATCAACCACACCCACGCTGTGTCTTCCGTGAAAGAGCTGCCTGGGATGCCAAGCCAAGTATGAAGAGGCCTTCCTTCTATGAATCTCTTCTTCCCCACCTGCAGGTGATGTCCCTCTGTAAAGAGCTACTCAAAAAAACTCTTAAGTAACTTCAGCTCAGTTCAGTCGCTCAGTCGTGTCCGACTCTTTGCGACCCCATGAACTGCAGCACGCCAGGCCTCCCTGTCCTTACTGTCCAAAAAAAATATATACATATACATATCTACAGGAAAAAAAAATCATCCTTGACATATATATATATACACACACACACTATTTTCTTTTCCTTTTGTCAAGTTGCAGTGTTCCAAAAGATGAGGTTTAAGAATTTGTCCAAAGCAATACAAAGACCCAGTACACTAATCTGTCCCAAGCAGGGTTCTCTATTACTATTAGAAATTTTTTTTTCCCCTAGCCTCTCTGGGATGTTTCGTTGTTTAACGATAACTAGTCCCACACAGACAATCCTTTAAGGAGGCCAAAAAGCAGAGCGGAGGAAGTTCGTGGTTCTACCTCCTCACGCCTCTCGAACCTCACCCACAACTCTCCTTTAAGGCTAAACGACACGTGAGCCAAGCCAGAGTCACATGAGCGAGCAGAGTCACTGAACTCAGGCTGCCAGGCCTTATCCTCTTTCCGCCACCACAGCAAGATTTTCCACGAAGATGCAATGGAAGCTAGGGAGATCAGAACCAGATGCATGGGTCCCAGATACTCCAGATCCAGCCACCAAGACCCACAGGGCTGACGGAAGAGGCATCAGGAGAAAAGGAAGGGATGCAGGAGGAGACAGGGAAGCACCTGCTTACCTCCTGAGAGAATCCTCCTCGGAGCTCTCCTCCGGCAGATCCTGATGTAAGGCCTCCTGTGACACAGTTCCAGATCGGCTGGCCTGGGTGTAAATGCGTTCCCAGTGGCCCGTCTCCTGGTTGAAGGCCACCCCCACAGTCCTCTCCTCCTGCGGGCTAGCAGTGCTGCCCAACTCCAGCCTGCTGGAGCTGGCCGTCTGGCCCTCAGTCCGCTCGAGCGGGGGCAGCTGGCTGCCGCTCGCAGCCATGCCCTCAAAGGGACCGGGGACCTGCCAGGAGGAGCTGGCCTCGCCAGAGGAGTAGTTCGGTGCGCTTCTTTCCCAGCGCAGGGTGTCGTTGTTGAAGGTCAGCAGGTTGTGGCACGCGCGGCAGCGGTTCAGGTGGCCCCGGGACAGGCTGGAGTTGTTTTCGCTGCTGTGCGGGGTGGGCTGGTGGGACGGCCCTGGCCGCTCGGATTCGAGGTTATTGTTGAGTATTTCCTGGGCCTGTTGGGCCTGGGGGGCTTCCCCACTGAGGCTCTGGTCCAGCTCCTGAAGCCGGTCGTACTCCAGAAAGAAGCGTCTCAGGTCACACTGAAGCTCATGGCGGATGCTGCCCGGGTTGTTCTGGCTGGAGCCGTTCCCTCCATCTGACTCAGCTGCCAATCCCGAGGCTGGAAAACCCCTCCCTTCTGTGGCTGAAGTGTACACGGAGGCTTGCGAGCCACCTTCCTGCTGTCGCAGCACAGAGAGCAGACTCACCGAAGAGGCGCTGGTCCTGGGCGGGGGCATGGACTCCGACTCGGAGCGAGAGTTCAGACTGAGCACTGTCCGGGTCCACTCGGATCCCGTCAGCCCGGGGGCTATGTCCCGGTGGTACCTGGAAGGGTGGCCAGACAGAGGGCCTCCCAGGGAGCGCCGGGGGGGACCCAGGCTGAGGTTGCGGAGCGTGTTGCCGGCGGTGCTGCTCTGGACCGTACTGAAGGCAGACGGCCGGCTCAGGAGGCCCGGGTCGTGCGGCGCTGACGAGGCCTGCTCCGGGGCATGGAAGGGCTCGGTCTGCACAAAAGAAAAGGAAGGGGTAGTAGCCCTGGCAGAAGCAGGGGGGACACTGTCCTGGTGTGGCAAGAGGGAAGGAACTCGAGTGCCCGAGCAGCGGCTGCAAAGGCACAGGATCCCAAGGTGCTGGCAGCACTCAGCTGTGGGGTAACTGACCCGCTGTCGGAGCCGGATGTAAGCGGAAGTCCTGGGGCGCTCCGTGGAGGGCTGAGGGGGAGGCGGTGGGGGTGAGGGGGTGGCAGGCTCTTGCACTGTGCTTTGCTCTCCCACCTGGATGCCAGAGGAGCGGGAGGACAGCATGTGCAGGAAATTGTGGAGGAGAGGCGTCCGGCGCACTGGCTGAGATTGCAGGAGGGCCCGCTGACGGTAGTGTGACAGTTCTGCTCCGTCTATGGGGATCTCTGGGTCGTCATCACCCTGCAACGTGGACCAAGGCGGGGCGGGGGCAGAGCCAGGCAGTTAGGTAGAACTTCCAGGTAAATCCAGAGAAATTACTGATAATCATCCAAGGACAACACTCATTCTAGAGAGGCAACAACGCCACCCTTGAAGCACTGAGAACTAACTGGGTCCAGATTCGGAATCATCATACGGTATTAAATCATTCACTTGCAACTAGCAACATTTCTCAACGAGTTCAGCTGGCACCCAATTCTCTTACAATAGGCATTTCCACGACACGGAGGCTGTGAGGGGAAGCAAGACGTCAGCCAGCCAAAGGCACCTGAATGACCAGTTATCCGACGCAGTCTGGTTACTTCTACCGGGACGATCGCTCAGGGGTTTCAGGATGGACTCCCCCGTCAAGACCTACGGCTCTAACTTTGGATATGGTCTGCGGCTAGTTTTAAATCTTGACTGGAAAGAAACACTTGGACATTGAAAATTAAAGTCCAATACCATCAGAATCCGAGCACTACTTGAGCAAACAACCCACAGTTTAGATGGAGCTGGACCTGCTGACTAACTTACCTGCTGATTAGAGGGGTTAACAATTGCTGTGAGTAAGTAGTGTCCAAGGGGATCAAATCTCACCAGACTGAAAACACAGAAGAAACGGACAGAGACACGGAGAGAGAAATTCTGTTAACTGAGGAAAGGAAACCCATGAGAAAATTTCTAGCGATCGTTATTGACAACTGTGGGATTTACCCAGGCATCCACCTAATTGCTAGAGACTTCCAAAACTTTCAAACCGATTAAAATAATAAAGCTCACTCCTTCTTGTTGTGTCCTCACACCTGCCAGAGTAAGGGAATACATTTCACAAAAATAATTTCAAGAACACCCCTGGGCTTGCATCCCAGGAAGCAGCTACATTAAGCACACAGCCGCTCAGGGCCAAGAGCCCGTCATGATGGTAAAGCAGAGGACGCTTCCATACTCTGCCGCAGGTTCGCGCCTCCCCTCACACAGCTGCTGCCCTGGCGAGAAGTGTGAGGGCTGGGGACAGGGAACAGTCCCAGTGTCGAGCAGCCCACCTGCGGGGGTGAAGATCCAATGGCAGTACCAAGAGGACCAAAGGGAAACAATGCGTCGACTTTGATTCAGGCAGTATGTGCACTGACTTTGAAGGCTACATGTGTAAATATTAGCAGACTTGATACCTATCTACATCTCCACTTTCCATTTTGAATAACAGAAAACCAGGGATGAGCAATTTACCCACCAAGCTACCCACCACCTGAACACCTTTTAAGGTTCAAAAAAAACAAGTCTTTATCCCAAACCAGATAGCTTTGAACCTAAAAAAGATTCTAAAGGCCTTCATCTACAAGGACGTGAAGATGAGGCCAACAAGGAGCAGCTGAAATGAACACCACGCACCACTTCCTGGCTGATTGGCCAACGGCTTAGAAAGCATGAAAAGCCCCAGGGTAACACCCTGCCCTGAGCTGGGATGATACAGAGAGAACTGTCTGTCTCTTGGGGTGAGAGCACCGGTAAACGTTTTCCGCATGTTAATCCTACGCCAGACACTGCTGGTGCCGAGTGCTCACCGGACCCGTTCCATCTCGCTAGCGGTCTTCACCACGGCAAACGGTTCCCGGCGACTCCAGTCCCAGAAGTGGATCTCATTGGCAGTGGCAATCAGCAGGAGCTGAGCCGTGGGGTGGAAAGCCAGGGAGGCAATGGCATTGTTGCTATCTGTGAACCAGCTCTCACTGCCACCCTGTGAATGAACAAATCCCAGGCATTCTCAAGTTACAAGCTGCCAGCGAACTAAGTTAACTTCAACAAAAGGGTCCAGGTGGGGTAAAATGACTACTTGTAGGGCCTACTTTAAATATGTCTTCTGAAAATCAGATACAAAATCAATGATCTGGCAATGTCACCAAATTTACTAGAAAAACATTACTGTCAATTCAGTTCTGTCATCTACAATCTATAAGTAATGAGCACCTGTTTCTACAGTCTGTGAAAACTCAAGCTTTAGTGCATAACATGGTACACAACAACCCACTAGCCAGTCTCCAGGACAAGGCGCACACTGCCTGACGATCGTGATCAGAGTAACAGTACATCTCAGAAAAGAGAAATCCATCCTGAAGATGTCTCAGCAGGTCCCACAATGGGCAGATAGTTAAACAGGGTGCACTTGAAACGGAGCACTGTGGGCTAGACTCCCTCTCAGTAAGTAAGCAATAACTATGAAGTACTCAGGTACGGTCCTGGAACATGGCTAGTCTCTCCTTCAGAGTCAAGAATGCAAGGGTAAATAAGTCTCTGCATCTAGAGTACCAAAGAAAAGGAAACACTTACATGCAAATCCCAGATCCGAACTTCCCCATCTAAGCAGCCAGAAGCGATGAGGCCTGAGATGGTGGGATGAAAAGTGACACACCATGGCGTGCGGCGGTGTCCAATCAGCGAGTGAACACACTTGCCCGTCTTCACTTCCGTGATATAGATATTATGGTTTACGTGAGTGGAAGCCAAGAGAGTCCTAGGGAACCAAAGAGGAGGAAGTCAATGTTCAGCACGTGGGAGGATTAACAAACTATCAGCTTTGGACAACAGAGAAAATAGAAGCTCATTCCCCATCCCAACAGGGAAAAAACTACACCTTGGGCTTTACTAACAACAGAAACATTCTCGTCTTTTAAAGCTCCTGGCTTCTCCATTCTGCCCCCAAATGACACATAACCCCTTCAGAAAATACTTTTTCCAGCAGGGAAAATTATTATGCTATTAGTGGCCTGTATCACACAGGCAAAGGACTGAGAAACTTTCCAAGTTTTGATCCTTGATGTTCACAGGTTCCTTTGCTTATTCCCATTATTTTAATGGTTAGCACTGGTCAACTATTTCCCCTCTTTCTGATAACACTGGCAAAGTTCTGTTCATTCAGTGCCTCAAAGAGTCTTTAGGGATTTCACTTGGATGAAGCTCAGCAAAATACACAGAAACCAACACTACCAAAATACACAGAAACCAAGTCTCAGGTAGAGTTTAGGTAAGAACTACGTACCTGTCTGGGCTGAAAGCCAATAAAAAGGTGGAGCGTGGACTATCCGGCAGTTCTACTCTCTGAGAAATAAACAAACAAAAGTTAAAATACATTACTTATAAACTATGGTTCACTCTATCTCAAATGCACTCTTCTACATAGATTAGTATTTACAATATAAGCTGAAAAACTGGAGACAACGATCAAGCTACAAATTGAGAGAGATAAATCTAAATTGATGCTTTTGAACTGTGGTGTTGGAGAAGACTCTTGAGAGTCCCTTGGACTGCGAGGAGGTTCAATCAGTCCATCCTAAAGGAGATCAGTCCTGGGTGTTCATTGGAAGGACTGATGTTGAAGCTGAAACTCCAATCCTTTGGCCACCTGATGCGAAGAGAGCTGACTCATTGGAAAAGACCCTGATGCTGGGAAAGATTGAGGGCAGGAGAAGAAGGGGACGACAGAGGATGAGATGGTTGGATGGTGTCACCGACTCGATGGACATGGGTTTGGGTAGACTCTGGGAGTTGGTGATGGACAGGGAGGCCTGGTGTGCTGCAGTTCATGGGGTCGCAAAGAGTCAGACATGACTGAGCAACTGAACTGAACTGAAATCTGAATTACCTTCAGGAAATCTAGCTCCAAAGAAAAAAGATATTTCTAGCCCATTAATGTTTCCATATTTGTAAAAACAAAAACACAACACCCCAAAACAACAAAGAAACCTAAGTTAGATATGTCAATTCTGCTACACAAAATAGACTGTGTGCCAACTCTATGTCACTAACTCATTCTAAGGCCTCATTCTGCTGTTCTCCCCTGTGAAGAACAACCAGGTTTCTTACCTTGCCCTCCCATTTCATACACCGGGTTTTATCTTCAACCAGCTCCTGCAGAAGTCGCTGAGCCCCAAAGGTCCGAGTGCCCCGTTCTCGCCCCCAAAGGATCCGGACAGCATTCTTCTCTGGAACGACCTTCATGGCGCTCAGCAGGCACAGTCACACCAGGCACGGGAGGGGGAGCGAGCCACAGCTCCGCACACCGAAGCGGCTAAACTGAGGCCATGCAGATCCTCGGAAGGTGTCTTCATGGAAATCTAAGGTAAGACATTTAATGTCAGAGAGCATCTATTCTGCGATCACAGCAAGTTCCCACCTCAAATACGACTCTAGTTGAGAGATGAAAGTACTGTTCTCTTCATATGTAATGACACCTTCTCAGAAAAGCCGCTTCTTCCGTAACTTTTCATCCAAGAACATTTCACCCTCAAATTCCTCTTCTACCCTCTGTAGCTCAGCCTGTGTCCAAAGGACAGAACCGGACTTCTCTGGTGGCCCAGTGGCTGAGATTCCAGACTTTCAGCACAAGGCACTCGGGTCCGATCCCTGGTTGGCGAACTAGATCCCATATGCCACAACTAAGACCCAGTGTAGCCAAATAAACAAACAGAATTTTAAAAAACAGACCATCGTCAAAAGGAGTCATTCTTTTTATCAGGCAACTAAGAACTTTTACTACTAACCAAAAGGTCTAAAACCCTGTCAAAAACAAGACAAATCACAACATGATATTTGCACTCCCTCCTCTGTGCCATGCGTCTTGCCTAACTGCTAGGACCCCCTCCTGATCACTTGGGCAGCCTCCAAAGCCAAAGATGGGTTATTGATTTAAAAGGTATTACTTGAGGTACGGTTCTTATATACGGGCTTTGGTTCTGTCTCCTACCTAAAAGCAAGAGCACAGAGCTACTTTGAGGAACCTTTAATTCTCTTTTTCTCATCTCCACTCAAGTTCCAGAATAAAGCATAGAGGAGGAAAGAGAAGAAAAAATTTCATTTCCTTTTTAATCATCCACTGCAAGCCTTAACAGTATAAAACTGTCACAAAATAAACACAAATTCCACTGAAATGTCAACTAGCAGCAAAACAAACACACATGTGAAAATTAAATTTGAAAATACATATATAATTGTTACTCATTGCGGCACTGTTTCTTCAACTCTATGAAAAAATTCAAATAAAAAAGTTGAGAACACAGTAGAATAAATACATATTGTTCATTACTTAGGCTCACGAACTGTTAATATATAGTCAAATTTGCCTCATTTGTCTCCATGGATAGAGATAAAGAAGGGTCACTTTTAATTTTCCTGTGAACCATCTGAGCAGGCATGGAGACAGTCTAACCCTATACACCTCACTGTGCATTTCTTAAGAATGAGGACATTTAGCTTCATAGCTACAACACTATTACCAAACCCATTATCATTTGTGCCTTTAATACACCAAATACTCCAAAAAGTGTCTTTAATAGTGGTTTAAAAAAAAAAAAATCCAGAACCCAATCAAGGCTCAAGAAATGAATTTGGATGATGTCTCTTTAGCCTCTTTTATTCTAGAATGGCCTCCAAGTTTTATTCTGGTTGATTCTGTTCATGGTTTGTTTGTTTACAACACAAGCTTTCTAGAAAGACCAGAACAGTTGACTTGATGACTTGTAGTTGACTGTTACGTCTGATTATTTCCTCACAGTGCCATTCAGCTTGCCTCTCTATTCCTAACACCTCCTGTAAACACTGACTAGATCGAGGTTGAGAGGTTTGGGAAAGAATGCTTCATAGGTGATGCTACCTACGTACCTCACAATGCAGTTCTCAGACTGCCCCACTCAGGGAGATCTGGTAAACTACGTGATCATCTGGCAAAACATGATCACTTGGTCGAGTCTGTAGCAGCCAGAGCTCTTCATAGAAGGCATATTTCCTCCTTTACAGTAAGCAACCTGTGGCTAACCTTTGGCACCCTGTGAATATGCCGTTCCTCTTCAACCTTTTGCTTAATAGTTTAGCAGTTACTGATGATTCCTTCACAAATTATTTCATTTGGGGGCTGGAATATGTTGATTTTTCCAATTCCATAATTATTTCTACATTACTGGCATTCTTTTGGAAAGAATTTTCCCTTAATAAGTGAAGTAGAGTAAATGTTTAATTTTTTCCCTTTAATTACTACTTAATATCTGCAATAGTAAAAATTGGGGACAACCCAAGTGCCCATCTAAAGGGGACAAGATGACTAACCTATAGTAAGGAAGATTCTCTGAGTACTGATAACAAAAGATCTCCAAGACACATTGTTCAGAGGGGAAAAAAGCAAGCAGCAGAACAATGTATATAGCAAGGCTACCTTTTGAAATAGAGGAGAAACTAATGGTCATTTATTAGAGACTGAAGGAACAAGGTGATCAGAAACAAAGATGGAAGCTAGACTTCTCAGTGCTTCCATTTTATGTCATTTTCATTTTTTAAATTACCTATTCAAAATATATTCTTAAAATATTTAATGATGTGAATAAAATGTTAAATGATAAAGACAAAACACAAAATTTATATATATATACACAGTGTGATCTCAATTTTGTTTTTAAAAAAACTTTAAAAATAATGATACAAAAAAATTATAAAAAAGCATTAAACCATGGTTCTCTTTGGGTGGTAGGATTATAGGTGACTTCATCATCAGAAAAGGCACTGTTCATTTTTTAAATTTAAAAAGCAATAATTGCTTATTGTAAAAAGTCAAACAATAATAAACTCCTTACATTTCATGAAAGGTTGCAATCTAAAAAGTACACAGTAAGACACATCCAAATACAGAAGGGAAAATACTTATTGCCTGTGCTGAAATGAGATTTCTCTTTGGAATATTAAAATAGAAAAAGTCAGAAGGGATCTACAGAAAGATGTAACTCTGAGTTCCTAGTTGCATATGGCACAAGGCTGTCAGGAGTGAGTAAGGAACAAACTCCAGCCTGTATCCTCGTAGTACAGTTCTCGTCCGCCAGCAGCACACAAACGTACGGATGTCCACACTGACTGTGTCGATGCGGTGCAGGCCAACCTCTAACTGAAAGGAGATTATCTCCCTGGTGACCGTGACAACTCATGCTTCAAATCCGAAAGTCTGGAAGTGAAACTGCCACAAAGCTGAATAATCACTAACCAGGAGGATGGCAGAAATATAGTTCCCATCCATTTACTCAAACTGTAATTTTTCTTAGAGCCAATCGTTCTTTTACCTAATTTGGAGGTCTTCAGCAGAAATGAGTTCTGAGGGTTCCGGACACTGTTGTGCTGTGCTGAGTCGCTCAGTCGTGTCTGATTTTTTGTGGCCCCATGGACCGTAGCCCGCCAGGCTCCTTTGTCCATGGGGATTCTCCAGGCAAGAATACTGGAGTGGGTTGCCTTGCCCTCCTCCAGGGGATCTTACCCACCCAGGGATCGAACCCAGGTCTCCCGCACTGCAGGCAGATTCTTTACCATCTGAGCCACCCCGTGTTGTCCTATGGTACAACATTAAAAGTACTTTGAGAGAAACATATTTAAACCATTGATAATCTTACAACATGTGGTGAAAACAGCAACAATCCAATTCCTAAAAAAAAAAAAAAAAAACCTGACCTTCTGACCTCATGTAACTCAAGAGGAAGAAGAAAATATAGGTCATAGACATTGGGATTCAGAAAACTGTGATGCAATCCTAAGTTTGTACATGAACCAGAAGGACAAGGAAGAGCTGCTACAAATACCAGTTATCAAGAAAGCTCAAAAACTAAAGCTCAGGATTACCACAGAGCTTGTCTACCACTTCCCAGAGACCTAAACACACCAACGGTTCAAAGAAGAGAAGTCTGGGGGACGGCACAAAGTCAAAGGGACTAAAACACCCTCACAGTCTCTCTTTTGTCGGAAGAAAAATATTTGCTCTGTTTCTTTAAAAGGATGAGGGGCCTTCTCCTGATACACTGCCAACAGCCACCTGCGAAGAGACTTGACTTTGTTCTCCATAAAGAACAGGAGCGGAATCAAACTGCAGCTGGGCGGGCCTGTGGGCTGAGGAAGTCCCAGTCAAGTGTGTTTTTCATTCCTCTCTTTAAAAAGGAGAAAGAAACAAGGTTCCCAACCTGTCCCTTAAACCAGATTGGGACAAAAGGTGCCAAGAACAGTCTTTGTGACACCACTTACACAGTCCCCCAAGTCAATTCTCAACCACCGAAAGCCTTGTGCACGTACAACCAGAAGGACACGATTAGGACATGTATGCAACACAAATGCCAAGATCTGTGCCCCCGCCCCCACCCCAACCACTTCCCCCATAAGAAAACCTTGAAAGGTCTTCTCTGCTTAATTCTAGGACATAAATGATACTTAACCACCACTAATAAAAATCACCTAGAGGGGACTTCTCTGGTGGTCCAGGGGTCACGATTCTGTGCTTCCAATGCTGGGGGCGTGAGTTTGATCCCTGAGTGGGGAACTAAGATGCCACATGCCACATGGCACAGCCCAAAAAAAAAAGTCACTAAGATTATGCACATCCCATTGAAACTAAAGTTAGACTTACAGGTTCCCCTTGCAATTAAAAACAAGTTTTATTTATGTGCAGCTGTGCCGGGTCGCCAGTGCCGCGTGGGCTCTTCCAGTTTCGGCAATCGGGGACCACTCTCCAGTAGCAACACACGGCCTCCCCAGGGCGGCGGTCTCCCCTGCTGCGGAACACGGGCTCTCGGGTGCTCGGGCTTCAGTGGCGGCGGCTCCCGGGCTCTAGCGCACAGGCTCAGCAGCTGTGGCGCACAAGCTCAGCAGCTCTGCAGCCTGTGGGGTCTTCCTGGACTGGGGATTGAACTCGTGTCTCCTGCCCTGGTGGATTCTTTACCACGAGGCCACCAGGGAAGCCCCTCCCCCTTGCAATTTGGTCACCTTATTATGCTAGCAATTTCACTCCCTCTTCTAGCAATATGACTTTGGACAAATTGTCTAAGCTCTTTGAGACTTGGCTGCCTCCTCTGTAAACAGGAATCATGCTACTGGCCTCATCCAGTTGTTGTGAGGCTCTAAGAAAAGCACGGTAGAGCATTAAGACCATTGCCATTACTGTTGTTATTATTACTGAATCCTCTTTGGGGTTCACCATGGTTTCCCTCACCAAACAGTGTGCCCAACTATCAGTAAAACCCGAGACCTGTGATGCCATGATTCCCAAGAGAAGCAGATTGCTAAGAAACATTTCAAAGGCTGTTACCAGACAACAAATTAA